TGGCCCTAGCTATCCTGTAACCCCGCCCCCATGGCCTTAGCTACTCTGTAACCCCTCCCCCACTGACCCTAGCTGCCCTTGTAACCCCGCCCTCAGTGGGCCTAGTGCCCCTGGTAACCCTGCCCCCACTGGCCCTAGCTCCCCCATGACCCCGCATACCAGTGGGTCTAGCTCCCCCGTGACACCGCACACCAATGAGCCTGCCCCCGCCCGCTTGCTCCAACTCCCACTGTGACCCCGCACACCTGTAACCCCTCCCCCACTGACCCTAGCTGCCCTTGTAACCCCGCCCTCAGTGGGCCTAGTGCCCCTGGTAACCCTGCCCCCACTGGCCCTAGCTCCCCCATGACCCCGCATACCAGTGGGTCTAGCTCCCCCGTGACACCGCACACCAATGAGCCTGCCCCCGCCCGCTTGCTCCAACTCCCACTGTGACCCCGCACACCTGGGACCCATCACACCTGTCCCCATTGACCCTCATCAACTCCTTGGTGAACCCGCCCCCACTGAGCCCCCAGCTCCTCACTGCCCCCAGCCCTCCTGTGACCCTGTACACCAGGGACCTCCCCAGCTGGCCCCATCAGGCCCTTGGTAAGCCCATCCTCACTGATCTCCAGCAATCCCGTTCCCACTGACCCACAGCTTCCCTCTGTGACCCTGCACCCCAAGGACCTCCCAGCAACTCCCAATGACCCTCAGTCACCACTGACACCTATCTCCCCACTGTCTCCAGCCATCTCTTGTGAGCCTGCCCCCACTGAACCGAGCTCCCAGCCAGCCCCAGTAACTCCCTGTGAGTCCGCTCCCATTAGCCCTCAGCTCTCCACTGACCCCAGCCTCCAATTGACCCTTAGTCTCAGATGCACTGTGTCCCCACTGATTCTCCAGTGACCAGCCTCAGTGACCCCTAGTAACTGCCCCAGCCCCACACCCCACCATACTTTCTGAACCCCCAGGCCCTCAATGATATCTCTAGGCCCTACCCCAGCCAGTGACTTCCAACCCTGCACCGTACAACCAATGACATCCCAACTCCCAGCACTCCCAACTAATCTCCCCAGCCCTCCACAATGCTCCTGGTCCCATCTGCTGCATCTCCTGGTACACACCCAGTGACCTCCCCACCATGCACGGAGTACATGTCTAGTGACTCCCCGAACCTTTTGCAGTGCATAGCACACACAATGATATCCCAACTC